CCTGTCTTACTCCAGATCATTATGCACGACAACTGTTAGCGTTTCATAGATGCCCTTTATTAAGCATGTTCCTCTCTTTTCCTAGTTTGGGTATTGAATTCATCAAACGCTTTCTCAGCCTCAACTGAGTTAAGGTGTGCGATCTCCTTTCACTGTCTAGGACAACATACCACCCTGATTGGCTCTGATCACACCAACTGCCCTGTGTTCTCAGCATTAATCCCACTTGCCTATGGTGTATGGTCCTTTCAACATGGTGCTGAATTCTGTTTTCTGGAGTTTGACTGCAGATCTTTCCGTCTATACACATGCAGTTTTCCTGTGTCTTATGCAGCCTTGTAAAATGAGTTATGAAGTGTCCCATCCTACCTTATTTTCTGAAGTCTGTGGGAAGGATCAGTGTTAATTTTTACATATTTGGTAGCTGTCACCAGGAAAACCATCTGTTCCTGGGCTTTTCTTTGTTGAAACTGCTTGATTACTGAGTCAATCTCTTTACCTATTAGAAGTCCATTCGGATTTTCTATTTCTGGTAGTCTGCATTTCTAGAAGCTCTCTCAGGTGTTGTTTACTGGGGAAGGCCTTAGTGTCCCCTTCATCTGAATGAGATTCCGCTGGACACAGACTTCTCCACTGCAGACAGGTCTCCTCCCACAGCCCGAGGGTCTTCTCCATTGCCTCCCATCTCTGAGGTTTCTGATGAGAAATCAGCTGTCCCAGTTGCTGCTACAAACTGCTCTCTTTGTTTCTAGCACTCTAGTTGGATTACACAGACTGAGTATCCCTACTCCAAAAATCTGAAACACAAAGTGCTCCAAAATTTGAAACAAGTTCAGTGCGAACATGATGCTGAAAGGAAATATACATTGGGGCATTTTAAATTTTCAGATTAGGGAAACTGAGCTGCTAAGTATAATGCAAGGATTCTAGTACCCCCAAAATCTAAAATCCAAAACTTCTGGCCCTTTCTAAGAAGGGATATGCAACGTGTAATGTGTCTCACTGGGGGCCTCTTTGAATTTACCCCACTTCTCAGTTTTCTGAGCTCAAGTGTATAGATTGATGTTCTTCATCCAATCCACACACAGGCTCTCGAGCTCTCTGTCTCCTTCCTCTTTTTTCTCAGTTCTCAGACTTGGGCGTCTCAGCTGCCTGACGCGCCAGCCGCTGCTCTGCTCCTCCTGGCTCCTATCTGCTCTGCTCCTCCTGGCTCCTATCTGCTCAGCTCCACTAGCGATTTTCTTCTCTTCAGTTATTTCGCCCATCAACTCCGGACTTCCTATGTGGCTCCTTTTTATTTCCATCTCTTTATTGATACTTCGTACTGTCTTTTGATTATAGAAAGCAGCATTTCCTTATGCAGATATCCAACAAACTATTACAAAGTCAATTATTAAAAAGCTCCTGCATATTTCTTTAGAGTTAACTGTACACTTAAAGAAAAGCAATTTTATAAAGCAAGCTGTAATTCACTTTAGGCAGATGGAGGAAAAAGTCACCAACATAGAAACCAAAGAGACAAAATTCCCAAATTTTAATTCCATAATTACCAAACACGATATAATTCCCTAAACTACCAAATCTTTATGGTAAATATATTAAGTTAAAGAGAGCCTAAAAGACTCAAGTGAATAATTTAGAATGTACCACAAGGGAAAAAAAAAAGAGAGAGATCTCAAAGAACTACAAATAAGTAAGAAAAAGGCCACAGACACCTTGAAGACAGAAGATCTTCAAACTCTTCCTCTGTTCTCCACAAACAGCAGATAATAACTGTACACCTGCTGTCTGCCAGACTCAACCCTCACACACAGAGTCCCAGGAGACAGGCTCAACCACATGTGCTGGAGAGGTGGAAGGGGAGCCTCAGGGAGGTGCTGGTATCCACCCTAAACCCAGAACCCTTGGGAACTATAGGAACCAGAGCTGTTAACCTCCGCCCCACAGAGGCAAAGCGGTCAGATGAGTTGTAACAAGGTAACCAGCAGGTGGGATGAGCCCACTGAGGCTGCAGTTCTCAAAGGCAGGCCCAAGGCAAAGGACACAATAGAGTTTATATTGAGAAAGATTAATTTTAGTTCTATCAACCACAATGCACTTTTGAGAAATTCCACTAGCAAAACTAGTGACCCCAACACAGAGAGGGCCAGGTACAGCTGCTCCTGCCTGGAACCCCCACAGTTGAGGAGGCCGAGGCGGGAGAGTTGCTTGAGGCCAGGAGTTTGAGACTGGCCTGAGGATATAGCAACCAATTCTATAAAAAATTATCTGGGCATGGTGACAGCACCTGTAGTCCCAGCTACTCAGGAGGCTGAGACAAGAGGATCACTTGAACCTAGGAATTTCAGGCTACAATGAGCTGTGATGAGGTCACTGCAAACCAGCCAGGGTGACAAAACAAGACTCTGTCTCAAAAAAAAGCGAGAAACTGTGAAAAGAATCAAGGATAAGGACTGCCTCTACCAGATTTCATAAAATAGAGTCATATAATATTGGAAAACAAATGACAGAAAAAAAGGAGTCCAGAAATAGACTCAGGTAAATAGGGTAATTTTTTTTTTTTTTTTTTTTTTTGAGACAAACTCTCACTTTGTCACCCTGGCTAGACAGCTCACAGCAACCTCAAACTCCTGGGCTCAAGCAATCCTCTTGCCTCAGCTTCCCAAGTAGCTGGGACAACAGGTGCCTGCCATGACGCCCAGCTAATTTTTCTATTTTTAGTAGAGATGGGGGTCTCACTTTTGCTCAGGCTGGTCTCAAACTCTTGAGCTCAAGCAATTCACTCATGTTGGCCTCCCAAGGTACTAGAATTACAGGTGTGAGCTACCATGCCCAGCCTTACTAGGGGAATTCATTGAATAAAAACATGGTTAAACTTTTGGGGAGTCAGTGAAGGCTCAGTCAACAGTAAAATAATTCTTCATACTATTCTTTTCTTTTTTTTTTTT